CCCGCCACGAGCACACATACACAATTCACCAGAATCATGTAGGAAAGTCAGGGAATTCTTTTTAAGGAGTTCATGCTAGAGTGTTCATGACTTAATGAGTTATACCGTGATTTGTGTATCTAAAATTCATGAAAACACTCAAGTCAAAGGATTGCGTCTTCACTAGTCTTTCCCACACAGAGTCAGGAAATCTAAAATTTCAAAGGTCTGTAGATAACTACTCACTACTAGTACTCTAAGTCTTCTCCAGGAGTGCAGAGGAAGCGGGCTGCTATAAAGAGGTCCGCATCCTTCGATCCTGTAAACTCACCCTTTGGACTCTACCCTGAAAATACACTAAATTCTACGACATTGGGGCAGTGGGGCTTCAGAAGCGGGAACTAGAGCCGGAGGAGAGAAGAGGCTGTCTCACGCCGCCCTCGCCCCACCCCCCCGGAGGGCCCCGCCCCTCGCATGCGCCCCTTTTTAAAAAGCGCGGGCGCGCCTTGCGCAGGCGCAGTGAGGCGTGAGCCTTAGCCGCGCACGCGCAGTGATGATAGGATGGCGGAGTTGGTGCATTTTGCGGTTCCCACCGAGAGTGACAAAACCTTGCTGGTGTGGGAGCTGAGCTCTGGACCCACGGCCGAGGCCTTGCATGTGAGCCGGGCCTCGGTGGAGGGTGGAGGGTGGACGGAAGGATGGAGAAAGCCGCCCCCTGGTGACTGGGAGTCCCAGAGTCCAGCTTTAGCACCTCACCCGCCTTGTAGTCTCCGCTAAGGACCCTTTGTTCCAGAGGGGACCTCCGCTGTCATCTAGCCCCAGCAGATTTCTGAGAGGTGACTCTCAACAGCCAGCACGTATTGCCTTCTAATGCTTCTTGAATCTTCAGATTTCAGAGGAAAACTTGTCCATGAAATGAGAAGTGTTTTGAGTCGCACCCTCTCCCCAGTTGCCTGAGGAGAAGGGTTTGGGGAATAGAAGGGAACTTGCAGTTTTGTTTCCTGGCCATGACATTTCATGCACTTACCTGGCGTGGGACCACGCCACAGCGTTCTCTGTTCGCAGTGTTCTCCCAGTTTGGCCTTGTGTATTCGGTCCGAGTCTTCCCAAACGCTGCAGTGGCCGGTCCTGGTTTCTATGCCGTTATCAAGTTTTATTCAGCAAAAGATGCCCACAGAGCCCAAATGGCATGCGACCAGAAGCAGCTTTTTCAGAAATCTCCAGTGAAGGTGGGTCCAAAGAGGGAATTCCTAGCTCCACTGGGATGAAGTGCTGAATTCGATAATAGGCTAGCATTTGTGCAGCTCTTTGGTTTACAGAATGCTTTCAGATGCATTGCTACTCTGATCCTCCTGTCCCCCATTGTTTTTTTTAGATGAAGAAACCTGAACTCAGGATGGTTAAGTGACTTACTTAAAGTTCATGACAATAACTGTGGAAGTTTGAGGTCAAACCGAATCTTGCCCATGTTAAACCCCTTGTCATTTTATGCTGCCTCTGAATTTTAAAAATCTTCCCTAGAAGAGTCTTGCTTATATTTACTTTTATGTGGATTTAAAATGTGAGCTTGACAAACTCTTTTGTCAGTTGTAACGTTAAGGATACTTCATCATCATCACTCTCAAACTGCCTATTCAGAATTCCTTTCACTTCTCGGAAAACAAAACATTCTTTAATGCATTATAGAAAACTTATTCCATACTAACATGCCGTCCAATTTTACTTTTCCAGAGCCCCAGAATTATATTTTATTTTGTGCCTTAATTCAACCACTGTTCCTTTTTCAAGGACCATCTCAATTCCTCTGAATAAGAGTGAGGCTTAGATTTCCCGAAGCTTTCACTTTATAATTGTGTCTTCATAAGCCTTCTCTGATTGGCTTCTTGATCTGGCTGTGTCCTGCTGACCTTGCTGCCTATTCTTACCCATATTCCTTTCCTCATTGATTTAACCTTGACTGAATCTGAGAACTCTCCTCAGATGTGACTCCAGGTATACCACTTCCAATTCTGTACCCTGTTCAACACCCTCTTCAACCCTGGCTCCACTACCTGTGATTACCTGTCAGACATCCTTTAATTTGCAGACTATGATCTGCCTGCTTCTAGTCTGGGACCATTTCACATAGCCACTCAGATATTACAGATGGTACGGGAAAGACTGTGATACAGTTACTTGGCATCAGATGTGAGTTATGAGGTTTTTTTCTCTCATTGGACATTAAAACCATTTCAGAAGCTTTAGGTTTTGAGATTTTCACAGCATAAAGCACATCACTGATAGAGTGATGCAGGAAATGTTCTATAAGTCAATACATAGTTGAGAGGAGAGGGAATTCATATTAGATATCTTTATTTAACACAGAGCCTTGGGTTACTACCAGCTGCCCCCAAAATTGTTATCTAGTTTAATTACATGTTCTTTATACTTTGGCAAGTACACATAGTTCCTGTCTTTTTGCCTTTTATAAATACAGAAAAGAGAATAGCGTCTTAAAGTAAAATCAAGGAAAGGCCTCAGGCATCTGAGAGAGGTTTTTTCAGTAGCATGAAGGAAAATGGTTGCCAGAAAGAACGGTGCTAAGGTTATCCGAGGTGACCACTGTCCCTACTACCCAGGGGCTCAGAGCCCTTCTGAAGCTTCCTAGTTGTTCAGAACAGCTCCGCTGTGACTCACCATACAGGCTCACCTCCCCTGCCTCACTCAACATTTAAAAATTAATCTTCATTTCTCCTTCCCAGCAGGCAGCTTCAGGTGGAGAAAGTAATTTCATTTTCTTATTTACTCATTTCTTTCATTCATTCGCTCAATCAACAGACCATCAATTCCCTATTATATGCCAAGAACTGTGCTTGGTTCTAGGAATGAGACAAGAATAAGATATGGTTCCTTCAAGCACTTAAAGAGCTTATAAACTAGTGATAGAAGAAGATGCACAAACAAATCAATAAAGAATTAAAAATGCTTTGACTTTATTTGTATTATTTGAATTTTTATGAATTTATTTTATACTATACCCTGTTTAAAATTGAAATAGACATTTAAGAAAGAACAAGCGGTGTAAGAAATCCACAGTAATGCATAAGCTATTTAGAGAGTTAACACTGGAGACATTTGCATTCTCAATGAAGCTTGTTAATGCAGATGACCCTCTGTTTTAGTTGCTTATAAAGTTTACAGAGGTATGTGTAGTCCCTCTTCTAACAGGAGTTAGTAACTTGGGGAGGGGGGTGCTGCAGATTAAGGTCCTACCTCTGTGGCAGGTCCATCTTATCTGCTCTTCAGGTCGTATTCTCAAACAGGAGCTATGGAATGGGACAACTAAAACAATTTATATCCTTTGCTTACCCATACCCTATAATTTGCTTCTGCAGGGCTTCCTTAGTTGCTTTCGTTATTACTTTCACCGCCAGAGGTCAGGGAAACCTTCTGATTAATCAGGGGCCCTGGAAATAATGCAGAAATGTACTGTGGCTTAAAAATAATAAATAATATTTATTTAGGGCTTCCTATGAACTCATTGCTTAAAGTGTTGTATCCTATTTAATCTTCACACCACTCTTTAAAATTGGTATTGATAAATCTCAGGGGTATCCAAAATAAGTCTCTATGGCAGGTTGTGATATTTTTACGTCTATCTCTTATGTCTCTAGGTTTGTCTCGGCACCAGACATAAGGCGGTTCA